CATCTTGTTAGTATAGGTAGTACCAATTAATTCTTATAAGTCATTCCCAACTGTACCGTCCCATACCAGCACAGTCTCTGGAATCCCTCTCTTTCGGGTGTTGATTCGATTCATTCATGTACCCCCGTCCCTAGAAGCCTGCCCGCTCCTTGTCCGTGCCCTTGCGCACCGGCGATCACTCCCCGCCCTCGTCAGCGCCCGAGATGTTACATGCCCACCAGCTTCCGCCTGGTTCATCCTCGAACCACACCGTACTGGATGAGAGGCCCTGCTCTGATACCACTTGTAACGCCTGGCAACTTGCAAGGATCAACGACTGTCCCCACACACTAACACGAAACTTTTCAGCGTGCTTTGTCCTCACTCGCACACTTTCCGGGAAAACTTCCCAGGAGGTCACCCATCCCTGAATTGCTCCAAGTCAAGCACGCTTAACTGTGGAGTTCTTCCGATCCGGGCTACCAAAAAGTAGATGCATCTTGTTAGTATAGGTAGTACCAATTAATTCTTATAAGTCATTCCCAACTGTACCGTCCCATACCAGCACAGTCTCTGGAATCCCTCTCTTTCGGGTGTTGATTCGATTCATTCATGTATCCCCGTCTCTAGAAGCCTGCCCGGAGCCGCTCCTTGTCCGTGCCCTTGCGCACCGATGATCACTCCCCGCCCTCGTGAGCGCCCGGGATGTTACACAAAGCAGCAGAAGAGCAGCTCCATTGTTCATTCAAAAACCAAGACTTTCGCTATTGCGAATGAGACTGAGACTGCGGTGGTTGAGAAGCCCTAATTGGGTGGTCGCTTCCAAGTTTTCAGGGGCTATCCCACTCCCTTTGGTGCCACCGCTCGAGACAGTGGGGGTTAATTTCGCCATTTATTCTCTCAATGCACTCTCCGCTACTCTCTGTTTGATTACACTCTCTGATTTTCACGATGTGCGCGACTTCTTCATTATTCTCTTCTTCTCATTTTTATCTCATTTTTTGTGCACTGCAAATGTTTGTCAGAATGCATTGCAACGGCTTTTGTTTATAAATGAATTTTATAATGTATTGAAACGTTAGTTCAATGTAGATTCTGAGAACTTCTGGTCAATTTTACAGATTTTCCACTTATTTTGTGGGTCTTAATAATTTCAGTTTTTTTTTTTTTTTTTGCAAAATCAAGTGACAGAGTATATTCCTCTTGACCCATTGATTAATAAGACTGGAGGAGTATGGCATGTATTCCTAAAAGCAGATTTTAGAGATATGCTATATAGATATAAATTTGATGGCAAGTTTTCTCCTGAAGAGGGACACTATTATGATTCTTCTCTATTTTGTGCAGGGCTATGGAGACTGCTGTAAAATCATGGCATCAAACTTCTTCAGTGGATGCTAGAGTTTACTTTCTTCTTGATCAGGAAAAGACACAGACCAATAAGTACTCCCCAATTGTGAACGTTGATAAGGTACATATTTTTCCTGTCAAATCTTCGTATAATATATTCATTGTGGTTTACTTGATTTTTATCATGGTTTCTTGCTTTCCTTTGATTTATGACTATAGAGCTTCATATGTATGCATCATATTTAGCTAGTCTCTGTTGTTGGCTTGTGATTATCAAGAGGAACTATTAAGTTCCCTATATGGCATGCTGATTTTTAATCTACTTACATTTGTGTCATCTCATTTACCAGGCTTTTGAATCGCCACATACACACAGTAACTGCTTTTCATTTTTAATCGCCTTTGAATCGAAGATGTCAAGCTCTTGAACGATCTCTTAATCGAAAAGAATAAGGAAACTCGGTCTCTTTCAATTTGTACCATTTATATTAGTTGTTTATTATGCATGATTATAGTCTTTAAAATATGCAAGGTTGATAACTTCCTAATCAATACTAATTATGTCATTTATTATTTTCATTCAAGGTTGAAAACTTCCAAATTCCAGTTTCAATTTCACAATAAATGCCACTTACTATTTTTTTTAAGGTGAAAACTTTGAAATTTGAATTTTACAATCAATGTCATTTACTATTTTCTTTTGAGGTGAAAACTTTGAAATTCAAATTTCACAATCAATGCATTTAATATTTTCACTTAAGAAGCACGGGAGACTTCTGCATGTTTGACACCTCTCCATCCCTTAATGCAGTGAGGCATTTAATAATTCACCAGGAAAATGAGAGCGATGCTGACATTAAACAGATGGCAGAATAGAAGAGGTGGAAGTCCAATTTGCAGCTACAAATGATGACGAAGTGATGAAGTTAGCAAAGAAATTATGAGACTTAGTGAAGAGAACACTCGCAAGTTCCATTATGTACTATAGTTTTTAAAATTCTTTGTATACACTTCATATTTTTCATTATGTTATTTTTAATTTGTAAATATGATATTAAATACAATTAATATTTTTCATAATATATTGTAGTTTTTGGGCATTGATCTAGTTTAATTGTGCATTATATGCTTGAAATTCTTATTTATTTATTGAATCAAAATTTATATGAAAGATATTTTTAAAAAAAATTAATTCAAATATTATTGGTGAAATTTAACCAAAAATTTTAAAAAATTAATTCAAAATTTTCGACGGAAAACAAATTTCGTAAAAAATTTTCCACGGAAAGAAATTCCGTTGAAGATTTGCTACGGAAATAAATTCCGTCGAAGATTTTTCAAGGACACAATTCCGTCGAAGATTTTCGACAAAAACAAATTTCGTTGAAGATTTCCCACGTACACAATTTTTGTCGAAGATTTTTGACCGAATTTTTAATTCCGTAAAAAATGGGTTATCAATGGAGCAAAATTCAATGGCTTGAATTCCATCAAAAATTCCGTCAAAAACTTCATTTTTGACAGAATTTATACTATTTTTGACGGAATTTTTTGGTCGAAAAAATGGACTTTCTTAGTAGTAAGCCCAAATAGCACACCACAAGATATACAATAGACAACACACATGTAACCAGCAAAAACAATGACGCAATGCATCATCAGATGGCAACAACACTTAGATTAAATGAGTCCAAAAATTGTACACTTCACTGTATACGTTTGACACCACAAGTAGATAGCCAACACTCTTTAAGCAAATACTAGCAAAATAAAAACCCAATGCAATATCAGAATTTGACACTCACAGTATGCCCTTGTTGTACCCAAGAAATTCAATTCAAAAAGAGTAAATACCTTTTTTGATCCCTAACAAAAAACACGGTTCCCACTTTAGTCCCTTACAAAAATAAATTAGTCAGTTAGTTCCTAACAAATTCAAGGTGGACCCATTTTAGTCTTTTTGAGGGACTAATATGGGTCTTTTTTGAATTTGTGAGGGACCACGATTTCAACTAAATGGGTCCACTTTGAATTTGTTAGGGACTAACTGACTAATTTATTTTTGTAAGGGACTAAAGTGGGGACCGTATTTTTTGTTAGGGACTAAAAATGATATTTACTCATTAAAAAATGAAGGTGAGTATATATTGTTGTGCGAGTGGGTGCTATCATAAGAGAGGAAAACATGGTTCATTGTTGTCATACAAATACTGTACACCATGTGTTAATGTGCTACAGCAGTTAAAGATGGTGGTGGTTTGAGATAGGTGAATATTTTTTTTAAGAGAAAAGGTTTTGAATGTGTGTTGCCTTGCAATTTCTAAAGAAAGGGTTTCAGTGGTAAGAGTGTATGAGATGAGTAAGAGAAAAGGAGAGTGTAGTAGGTTGATGGTGTGTGAGAGAGGTAGTGTGTTGTCACATCATAATAATTGAAATTTACACTCATAACTGAGGTGCATTTAATAGACACAAACACTGTGTGCAACGACTCTGCAATGGTTGAGACACCATTCTAGATAGCAAACTTTTTTTTTGTTTTCCAATAAAGTTACTCTGATGTGTGCAGGAAGGATTGGGAAGACCAAAAATAAGAGAGAAGAAAAAAAGTCTGACCATAGTCAGACTTGAAAAATAGTTAGGCATATAGGTGTGTGGGTTGGATTTGTACTAGGCCATAACATTTAAATAGGCCATTCAGAGTAGAGACATTCTTATAAGCCTATTTTTATTTTTCTAAAAGAAACAACATGGCTCCCTTTTTTAATGGGTTAACAACTTTATTAAGTGGCCAATCTTAATTTTTACAAAATAAATCACTCTATGGCCTCATTTAAGCATGCATCTGCCTAGTGTAACCCAACTAAAACACTTATGCCTCAGATTATACTCAAAGATGAGTATAGCAATGTGAGCTAACAGAACCTTGCACAAATAGACTTTGTATAACAACTAATGTTATGGTGTTGGAAAGTGTAAGTTACACTCACCTGCCTTACTTAAACTTCAGCTCCCTCTCTGTCTAATACCCCAAACTTAAAACCATATTACTCATTTACAATCAACCAGTAAACTCTTACACTACTCAATCACCAATATAGTTATCAGATAAGAGTTCTTATTTATTTACTTATTTTTTGTTTGTTTTTTATAAAGGCAACAATTACACTTGGTTCATCATCATAACAAAAGTAATCCACGAACTATCTACAAAAATTACCACTCACTAGTAACAAATTAAACCAATTAGAAAATGAAACCAAACAATACAAGACAAGTACTAAACTAGACTAATCTTTCTATACACTATACACTAAACACTTAATCACTACTAATTAACTAATCTACTATACTCTTTTTAGTGTTTCATCCAGCATCCAATAAAGAAATGAAAGTCTTCTCTTTATACACATGCCTTGTCCAATAATGCCTTAACCATTTAATCTTGTATTGAAATAATTTGATTCTTATCTTCAAATTTAGAACAATCTGCCCATTATCCAACCAATTAATTATTTTCATTTGAACCATTTCTTTCAAGAGTAGACTAAGTCTTCCTTGTTGATATAAGTAGCTGGAGTTTAGATCCTTATCAAGCAATCCTATAGGTCAAATTGCTTGTCTCCAAAAAACTTGGCTGGTTTAGGCTCTATTAGTTCAAAGCTGCCTTTATCTTAGCTATCATTTTCACTATTTAAAAGCACATGGTTAGCAACCAAATGATGAAACATAGATATAGGTGAACAGCTATCAAGATCTTCATCTATAGAATTCGTGGCATTCAAGATCTTAAATGCCATATTTTCCTCATGGACCCTCATACTCAAATCACCTGTTTTAACATCAATAATAACATCCTCTTTAACTAAGAATGGTCTATCCAATATAATATGCACATCCTTGGCAGCTTCAAAATCAAGTAGTATAAAATCTGCTGGAAAAATAAACCTATAAACTTTCACTAATATATTATTTGTTTTTCCATCAAGGTGTTCAAGTGACCTATCAACTAATTGAGGAGTTATTGTGGTAGGAGAGGCTGCCACTCCAAGTTGTTTAACAATAGAAGTGTGCATCAAATTAATATAGAGCCAAGATCACACAAGGCTCCTCCAATATTCTTATCTTTTACTGCACAGTGAATTGTAAAAGAACCTAAATTTTCCAGCTTGGGTGACAAATCACTGGAGAGGTAGTGCTCCTATTGTTGTTTTTGAAGTCTTTGAGGAGAAATGAGTTCTCTTGCCCATGATACAGGTTGAGGAACTTCATTATTCTGCATATCGATTTACAGTCCCTTTGATTTTGGCACTTGCTTTTTTGGTTCAGCAGTAATCTCCTCTTCCATGTCTTTTTCTTGAGGTGAAGTTTGACTGAGTGAAGGTTGAGTTGAAGGGGTGTCTTCCACTTGCTGTCCTTCCTTTTCTATTAATTTCCTCAAGGTAGACGACCTTATAGCATACTCTAGCTGATCTACTTCTTTGCCATTCCTCAATTGGAGGTCTTTCCATACTTCATTTTCATCCTTCATTGGCAATTCAGTATCACTAGGGAGTGCCCCCAAAGGTCTGCTACTAATTGCTGTAGCAAGTTGACCTATTTGTGTCTCAATGCTTTTAAACATGGCACTATGACTTTGGAGAAGAGTTGCTTGTTTCTGAAGCATTTGTCCATGATTTTGGATGGTTTGATAATTCCTTACAGCATAATCTTTCTTTCACTGCTCAAAAGGATGGTGTGCTTCTGCAGAGCTTAATTCTTGTTGTTTAGCAAAAAGTTGTTGAATTAAACAAGGTGAAAAATGCTCATTTGGTTCAAATGACTGCTGCCATTGTTGATAAGGCTGCTGCTGTTGGTAATTTTGGCTTTGGCCTTGAGCAAAATTATCTCCATGGTTCTGCCATATTTTTTGATCAAATTGGTTTTGATTGTTGTAAATTTGGTTGAAGCCTCCTATATAAAGGACAAAATTTGGGTTGTTGGGGCATTCTTCCAAAGCATGAAGTCCATAGCACAAGGAGCAGATAAGTGTTGTAGCAGCTACTGGAGGCTGGTTGCCTTTCTTCCATCACCACCTTGGCAAGATCTTCTATAGTTTCATTTAAGGCAGCAAGTTGAGCTGCAAATGAAGTTGTTTCATCGACTTCATGGATAAAACTTGCATCATAAAATCCATTCTCACATGCCATTGTGGTTCCTTTTTGTAGTGCTCAACAACCAAACCTTTATCTTTTCTTCAGAATTGGCAGATCCCAGACTTGTCACTACTTTTTTTTTACAATGTATTTCTTCAAACTTTACAACAAACGTCAGAGTTTAAAATAAGTTAAAAATGAAAAATAAAAAACTCAAATTCAAGAACCTAAAGAAAGAATATCAAAAATAAACTAAATCAAACACCGTTCCCCGGCAACGACCCCATTTTGTTGAGTTTTTTTAAAAGTATAGAATTCAAAAAGAATTCAAGTATCGTTCACTAGGAACGGGAAATTTAATTTCTTTCGTTTATTCTTTTTTTAGTTTTCTTGAAGATGAATGTAATTGCTTAAAGAATGTATTTTTTTAAAATGTAAACTATATCAAGAATAGTAAGAACACGTTTAAATGAGTTTAGAATGAAGATTAAAACTCTAGAATTTTGGGGTGTGTTTGAATGTGTTTTTGTTTTTTTGTTTTTAAAACCTGTTTTGAGAATGAAGTTTGAAAACTGATTTTGAGAGTAAAAAAACAATAAAACTTGTTTGAATATGGTTAGTTTTGAAGTTATAAGGAAGATGTAGTTATTTACAAAAATGTCATTAATGAATCCTCGTATTTACAAAATTGCCATTACAAAATAATGTAAAATAAAATAAAAATCGATCTAATTACGAAAATGCCATTAATAGATTCCCTTATTTACAAAAATGCCACTGCACTTTACAAAAAACCAAAAAACAACCTTGGAAAACACCCTGGAGTTGTTTTGCTTTTTCTGTTTCTAAAACCAAAAAACAAAAACGGTTTTTAAAACACGATGAGTGAAAACAGTCTCTTCAATCAAGTTCTTTTATTTTTTTGTTTTTAAAAACAAAAAACTGTTTTACAAAACAGTTAACAAGCAGGCCCTTGATTTCAATGACTTTCCCTTAAAAGTTGCATGTCTGCGTTTTAACTGCTATAAAATCTATCTTGATGGAATTTGACTTTTGTAGAACTTAACTAAACTTTCTCAAATTCAGTTCTAAAATGATTCAACTTAATCCTTTAATCTTGAATCAGTTCATTGATGACTTAAAATCAAGTTCTTTCCCAGATTATTCCTAATCTTGAAATCTTGAATTAATGAAATGCATAAACTCAAATTTTCCAATACAAGTTCATGCAAGAATTGTTAAGTCCATTCCCATGGAACTCAAACCAAGAAATTTTCACTAATCAAACATCAAGAACATGCATAGCAGTTTGAATCGATTAATGGGTACTTGTCATCTTCATCAGAATTCTAGAAAATAGAATTAGCAATGCATGTTGAAGATTAAAGCAAGAATGAATTCTGAAATAACAGTAAACATGTTCTACATTCACAAAGATAAAAAAAACAGTAAAGAGTTGAAGGTACAAATCAATATGGTTCTTCAAATTCAAATTTCTAAAACTACGAAAAACTAAAGCACGATGCTATTTATCCAAAAGCTTGTATGTAGAATTCGTTTCCTCTTGAATCCCTTCAAGAATGAAATCCTGCATGCTTGTATCTCCAAGAATCTTTCAAAGAAAACTAAAGTGCTCAAAATGTAAAAACTGATTACCAAGAAAAACTGAGCTCTCTTCTATTACAAAACAAAGACTCTGATTTTTAAAAGTAAAGCTTCAAGTTGATGCTGTCATTAGATCAAAAAGCATCCAATGGTCCTCAAATTGCCATATCATCTTTTTTTTTTTTTTTTTTAATCAGCCATGTGACCTTTTCTGCAGTATAATGTGAAAAATAATTAGTGAAAAGTTAAAATTCCTTTTTTTACTTCTTTTTACCAACTAACACTTCCCACCTTGAGGGAGAATGAGAAAAATCCTGAAGATTCTCTTATGCTTTAGGAAAGATGTTTAAAATCAAATTAAAATGATCTATTTTCATTTATTTTAATTATGGTTGGTTTGATTGATTCTTATATTTAATTTGTTTCCTTAATTCCGTTTCTTATTATTGTATTTATTGTAACCATTTCGTATGGGAGGCGCGCACTATGTTAATAAACAATTTTCACAAAAATAATAAATACCTTAGCCATTACAAAATAGCAAAATTGTGATGCCATAATAAATAACTAGTTGTGAGTTTTTTATTTGATTGATAAATATTTATTGCATGTTTGAATTAATTTAATTTGTTTACAGAATATTTTATTAGCAAAATATTCAAATATTATATTTAATTTGGTTATAAATGTTAAATTTACTTGTAATTTCACAAAGTTTAACTGTGATATTAATATTTATAACTTTCAAACTTGATCGTTTTATTAAATGTTATAAAATAATTAATTCAAGAGAAGACCAATTATAAGAGTGGGGTGACTGGGATCTTGGAGGAGCCCACCGAGAACTCAATCATAGGGAAGAAATGAGTCAAGAAAACTCTGAAATGTTTTGCAGGGTTCCGGGCTCTGATCATTACATTTTTCATAGTTTTATCAATAAAGCTATCTTACAGAAATTTATTTAAATATTCTAATTACTAGAATTAATAAAGTTTAACATCAAAAGAAAAAATAATCAATATAAAAAATATTTTAGGATGTTTTATTAATATATATTTATAATAAATTATGTATCTTTTATTTAATTTATTAAAAATGAACACACTTTGATTGCTACGTTAACAGAAAAATTAAAATCTTAAAAAAAGATGAAAATTTAAAATAAATAAATAAAAGAAACAAAAAGTAAAATAAAAACTCAAAAAAATAGTTATATACTTGTTTGATTCTAAAGGATCATAGTTACTATGGGATTTGTGGACTAATAGTGACTATAGAAGAGACAGCCGTACGATTCATGCTTCTCCTTGGAGTGTGGTGTGCAGAGCAAAAAAGAATGGTGGTTGGGGATCAGGAACCTGAGAATGACAAATAGAGCTTGCCTGATGAAGATTGAGCATGGATTGCTGACCCATAGGGAAGAACTGTGGGTGCAAGTGTTGAAAAATAAATACAAAGTTGGGAATGGGCTAATACCTAACATCCCAAAGAAGCCAGGTTGCTCAAACCTATGGTTGGGGATATCTTGAGTGTGGCAAAAGGTTTATGAAGGTTCAAGAATGATGGTGGGTAATGGTAATGGAACCTTTTTCTGGAATGATAAATGGTTGTTAATTGGCCCTCTTATAAACCTTACTATACGAGATATTCCTGCAGAGATCCAAGATATGGATATAGCATATATGGTTGATACTAATGGAGAATGGAAGTGGCAGGAGTTTAACTATTTGTTAACTCAAGAAACTCTGAACCTTATTGCTATTTTTTGTCCCCTTAGCCCAGATGAAGGAGATGATAGGGTAATCTGGGACTTATCCCAGGATGAAAGTTTCTCCGCGAAATCTGCATTTAACCTGCTTTGTAATGAAGAGCCCAACAACCAACAATATCAGTGGAATTCAATTTGGGATTGGGATGGTCCACCTAGAGTGAAAACGTTTCTATGGCTCCTCGTTGGAGAAAATCTTCTAACAAATTTGAGGAGAGTTCAGAGACACATGGCGGATTCTAGTGTTTGTCCCAGATGTCTTATTGCTCCTAAAAATTGCCTTCATGCTATAAGGGATTGTAGCTGGTCGGGAAAGATTTGGAGATCAATAGTCAGTCCAGATAAGTGGTCTGAGTTTAATTCACTCCCTCTACAAACCTGGCTATATGTAAATCTGGATCCAAAGAAATGCATGTTGGGAGGAATCAAAGGTAGCATTTTATTTGGTTTAGTATGCTGGTTTATCTGGAAAGAAAGAAACAAATTTATCTTTGAAGGAGAAATTCCAAGTGAGGGGAATACATCCAGATTGGCTTGTACTTATCTAGCAAATTTTTTGGAAGCTAAA